CACCTATCTTTCTCTCTTGCCCTCTTCGGTTTCTCTTTCTGTCTTTTCTTTTCTTTTCTTGCTAAGGCTGGTTAGGTGACTTACTAATTTTTCTGAGCGCCGAAAGTCGGCCTGGTGTGCGCATACGTCCACACCTGTTTCCAAGGAGTTTTACACAGGCGGGAGCGGCTAAGTAATCAGTAACTACCTTGCAGGTTTCGTAACTAAGGGGGTTCGTAAATATGCCTATCGTTCTCTCCTGCCCTCTGCGGTTTTCTCTCTGTCTTGCTTTTTCTTGCTAAGGCTTGTTAGGTGACCACTGATTTTCCTGAGCGCCGATAGCGGCCTGGTGTGTGTGTGTGTCCACACCAGTTTCAAAGGAACTTCAACAAGGCAAGGGGCCACAGACCTGCCACTGCCGCTGTGGCCAACGAAGACCGGCAGTGGCAGGTGTGAAAACGCGCATGCGAAACTGTTGACAAGCTGTTCTCCTTTCGGTTTGCTTCTCATGGTGGTTCTCATGCTATCCCCCTAAACCTTTTCTTTCTTTGTCTGCTAGGCATTCAGTAAAGCGGCTAATGCATAGGCGGTCTGCTAGGTATTCAGAAAAGCGGCTAACGCATAGGCGGTCTGCTAGGTATTCAGTAAAGCGGCTAATGCATAGGAGCTGAGGACTTGCACCAAACAAGTGTTCAAACACCTTCAAGTCTTCTGACCTTCCGCCTTTCCGTTCCATCACCTTTTTCGACCTGGGAACTGAGTTACCTGCAAACCCAATATCAAAGTGTGTGCCTCCAACTTCGCGGTTTGAGTCTTGTGAACTGCATTTTGAGTCTTGTGGCCTCTAACCTTGCTGCGATGGCCTCCGCCCTACTAGTGACGGCCTCCAACTGCAGCTTTGCGTTTTGCGTTTTGAGTCTTGTTGGCCTCCAACCTTGGAGCGAAGGCCTCCAACCTTGCTGCGATGGCCTCCACCCTACTAGTGATGGCCTCCAACTTTGCGGTTTCAGTCTTGCGCTTTGCGCTTTGAGTCAGGCTCTGGCTGAGCTGGACAAGGTGGCTTGGCTTCCACAATCTCCTCCATCGCTTCCTTCCCACCATCTTCAGGCGCCAGAACTCCATGAGTGGGAGGTCATGTGGCCGTTAACCTTGTAGCGAGGGCCTCCAACCTTGCTGCGATGGGCGAGGGCCTCCAACCTTGCTGCGATGCCTCCACCCTGCTAGTGACGGCCTCCAACTTTGCGGTTTCAGTTTTGCGTTGCGTGTTTTGAGTCTTGTGGCCTCTAACCTTGTAGCGAGGGCCTCCAACCTTGCTGCGATGGCCTCCACCCTACTAGTGCTGGCGTCGAACCTTGAGAGCCTTGCTGTTACATGAGTCTTGAGCAGGCTGAATGCCAAGAGTAGCCCACAGCAGGCAAAAGTAGGCTGAATCTCAAGACCCATTGGGCCTGCTGAAACCTCAATCCCTTCCTCTTTCTCTCCCCCTGCATCCCTGGACGCTGCCCTTCCTGTCTTCATGTCCTGTCATCCTCACTCTTTTCTTCTCTTGCGCGCACTTTTGCCCGGGCCTTAGTTTGTGCACATACGTGCGTACTCTTTCACCAAACTAGGTTCAGGTGCCCCAGGTTCGTTATAATGAGGTATGGTTCATTGGTTGTCCCTCTTCACTTGGTTCTCCCTTCATTGGCAACTACATACACCTCTTCTGTCTGTTTGTCTCGCTCATCGTTCATGTGTCCCTTTTGCGTGCACATCTGCCTCCCAAACACCTCCTTTCCGGGCAGGATGGGGGTGGTTGCGATGACCTCCCGCCTAGATGCGATGGCCCCCAACCTAAGAGCGATGGCCTCCGACCTACTTTCCGTGTTCTACTCAGGAACTTGTTTCACCTAGGTTGCCGTGTGGCATGCGGCATTCAGTTCAGTACACGATAGGGGCACCACTCAGAATTGGAAAGCAGAGAGCACCTGAAGCAGAGATAGGGCAAGCGCCAACGAAAACACCTATCTCTTGCTTATGATATCGACAGGAGACGTCCTGTCGACATACCTGCAGCCGATGAAGCAAAACTGTTTGTTGTTCCAGGTCTTCCTTTCGCAGGCCATTTCTGAAGTTTCAGGTCGTTTTGCAGTAGTCGGGTAATGCAGCAATTAGATCGTAGAGTGTTAATGCACTCTTGGGACCACCCTGAATGTATGCTCTTACGAGCTCTTTCTCAAGTGTGAGTCCTGCCAAGTTGCTTCCCTGCAGACATCAGTGCTGGAAGTTGATAGCACAGGGACTTTCCAGCACCCGTCGGAAAAACATAAAGTACATCCTCTCCTGCAAGTCACTTCTGCTCAAAGCCCTGCTTGGGAGCAGCCTACATGGCCAGCCTCACTCAGAATCCACATTCGTCTGCACAACAAGTATACAACAAGTATCTCATCGTCCGAGCTATGACAACCTGCTACTTCTTCCAGGCCGGGTCCTGCAAGCAAAGCTTTCACCACTTCCAGCTGCCCGGAGCGAAACGAACCTGCAAAGCTGCGAAGGACTCGTGCGTTCCAATCTGACATGACGAACAATGCCACTAGGTCCCGTCAAATCAAGTGGTCCAGAATCCATACCATCCATGCTTTCCATGCTACCCATACCATCCATGCTATTGCAATCCAAACGAAACTGAAGGCTTGGATCCAGAGCTGCTCTCGATATTTCTATTAGTCTTGCCAGCCACTCCTGCGCCAACTAGCTGTTGCAATGTCCGCAGCAATTTCATCTCTTCCTCCGGCAAGTCATTTTGGAGGACACCTGACAGTTGCAATGGAAACCCTGGAGTATGTTCATGCACCAATTGGGAAAAAAAGCCACTACTGGGATAGATGCCTTCTTCCTCCGTTGAGCCATCCGGATCAGCAAATCTAAGGGTTCAAACTTAATTGACATTAAAACCTCCCAAACGTGCCTTTTGTTGACGCTTCACTTGCAGAATTGGCCGAAGTCATGGACACACCACCTTCGGCCTTCTCCTCAGAGAGTGGGCCAAACAGCTGTGAAGGTTCCAGCCACAATGTTGCTTGAAAAAGCTGCCACAGGGGATCTAAGAGGCAAAGACTGAAAGACAAAAGCAATAAAAAGTTCAAGACTGAAAGATTAAAAAAACAGGAACATGGAACATGTGTGCAATGGCACACATGGGGGGTGCTAAACATCCTGTCTGGGTGCTGGATGCTTCTGACCTTGCGAGGTCACATCTTGCAGGTCTTGATGCCTGCTTTGCTTGCAAACTTGGCACTCTTTTGCATCTGGAGTGTTCAGGAACCTCAAGTATCGCTCACTGGACTCTTCGCGTCAGTTTGCAAATGTCCTGCCATAAGTATCACACCGTCACCTAAACTATTTGCCAAACTGTATGTGATGTATATACATGTTGTACCTTGGCGGACGTTCAATGAAGACTAAAACACAAGGCTGGCAGTTGACGCTGCTAATGCTACTCCTCTTCAAAAGGGGAAAGAAACATGATCTGCTCGAATCTGGCCACTATCGCCACGCAACGTGCATTTCACACATGCCCACCAATCAGCAATAGCCTTTTGCTTTGAAAGGCCGCAAGCTTGGCATTTGGAATGTCCAGACCTCAAGCGCGATCCGGCTCTAGATCTATATAGATCCTTTACACGGTCCTTTTCTCACAAAAAGACCCTGGGAGACCAGCAGAACAACTCACAAAGCCGGGTCGACCGCGTCGAAGCAGTTCACCTCTCTCTTTGCTGGTCCAAAACTTCTGAAATGAGAAGCGTAATGATTTGAGCCTTGAAAACCCACCGGGAAGCCCGACTGTACCCCCGTTGAGCTGCTACTGTATGTGATTCAAACATTCTTCCTCCTGAGTTGTAACTGCAACATATTCCAACTCGATCCTTTTCCCAACCCCCACGTTGTGAGCCACTTGTTCAGAAGTGTGCAAGCTGAGCAAGCCCAATCTGAATCAGCAGCGTCCACATCGATCACTTGGCATCTTGCCATGGGCCCACTTCATCAGCGGCACTCCACCGCACACCCGCGGGGACCAAGAAATCGGACTGTTTGCATGCGTACGCTGCGTTCCCAATCCACTGGTGAAAAGCCACTGTGTGTTATTTTTATTGCGGTGCCGTTCTTTGACTTTGCATGTGTTTTTTGCTTCAGCCATGCGAATAGCTGCAGAAAGGTGGTGAGCGGTGACAGGCAATCGGCCAAGTCTCATCCTGGTATTTCTTCTCGTTTACGGAATCGGGAAAATCTTCTGAGCACATGTTCTTTTGCACAGGAAGGTTCCTGTAGCCTTCAGACCCTTTGGCCTCGAGTCGGCCTTCCAGCTGGCTTTCAGCTGTACATTGAAACGAACAAAGCCAGCTGGTGCAATCCCCTGTGGCCCTGAAGCATGAAGGGCCACAATTCAGGCACAAAGGCATTGGTTTAAGCTAGTCCTGGCTGGCATCAAATGGCAGAATGAATGGCTTAAGTATGCTTAAGTAATCACTTTGTTGGACCAAAGGTTGATCGCCAGCGGCTCATGTTCTGCCATCAACCTATCTCTCATCACGTGGAGAATTCCCAAACGAGAGGGAGCAATAGGCGAACAGGAGGGTGACTGAAACAGAAGTGGCACCGCCAGACGCCCGGGACGCCCCACATCTTTGGATGAGCTTGACATTAAAAAGCCGCGCCGGTTTCCTGAGTACTGGACCAAAGTTGCTGAACGGCTAAACTGCTTGTATGCAAAAAAATAGTCATGCGAACAGTTCTCACACACTCGTTGGTCAGCTTTCGTGCCCTGCTTCGCCCAATCAACGAGTCTGGAAAGGGCGGTTGCAACTTGCTGCAATAATCCTGCACTCAACAGACAGCTGTTCTTTGCGAAATCTGTGTGAGCCAAGCAACATGCGTCTCATTTTACATCACCTGGAGGCTTGGCTCTCAGACCTCAAAGACATGCAATGAGGCATTGACCTGCATTGCATTCTATCCCATACGTTGGAGTGAACAGTGGTCTCCCCAAACCTTCTGGGGAACGCCTTCCAAACCTTCATCCAAGCGGCCAAAGCTCTTCGACATTGGGCTTCAGCCAAGCAGTGGCGCGTGTTAAAGCCCGCTCAGAGGCATAATCAATCAGCCAATGAGGCAGCCAATTCGCCTGGAAGATTAAAGACTCCACAAATCTACTGCGATAGCCAAGTAACTAGAAACACTTTCCCATGCTTCCTCGTCTATTGGGATTGGCTTCTATCCTTTTCAAGACCACTACAGGGACAGTATGAGCCTCACGGTGTTCATGATGAAATACACGGAATCACATCATTCGGGAGCCCGGAATCCTGTACCGTACTCTGAACCTTTTCTTTTGCGTCGAAACCCCGAGAGTGTAGATCAAGATACCGCGCTTGGGCGCCGAGAAAGGTACCACAAAGCGCAGCCCCCCAAAAAACCAAGGCCCCCAGGTCTTCCCCATAAAAAGACTCCGGTTGCTCCGCAGCCCAAGGCGCCGCGCAAAGGTCGACCCGCAGCCAAACGCGGCTACGACCTTCGGATCCATCGGACTCGAGGGCCTCCACGTACCTCGGACCAGGCGCTGGAGAGGCGGTCGGGCGCAGCCCCGGAGGAGAGGCCTCGGAGCCTTTGAAGGACTTGGTTATTTTTTTGACTTGAAAAGGTTTTAAGACGTATTTGTATGCACAAGTCAATAGCTGCGACACCCAAATGGATGCCACGTCAAAGAAAAGGATAAAAGCACCTTCAGCGCGTCCTGACACCGAACGAAGGATTCCGAGGATGCTCCCAGATTTGGTCAAGATGCCAAAAGCCGGTCACTTCCTTGAGCATCATTGCCGACACTGTGGGGTCCAAATCGAAGCCTGAACAGTTTCCACTAATTGAAAGATATTGAAAGTCCACCTGAGCCTGGCAACCTGTCCACAGCAACGGCAATCGCTTGACGCAGAACCTGACTGCCAATAAAATAAAAGTCATTAAGGTCTCCAATCCTTCCAGCCCCAGGTCTGCCAAGAAACGAACAAGCCCCTCTTCTCTGCTGACACTGTGAACCTTGTTGGCCGCAGGTTGCAAGCGGAAGGCTGCAAGCGGCAAAAGCGGAAACCGTATCAAGGGTGAGAATGTGATCCAGTGCCAAAGAGCACCCCACCAGCCACGGTTCTCACCGACACGGCCCAAGAAGCAATAGCCACTGACAGGTAGAAACGAGAGATCCGGTAGCTGCAGTGCGCTGTCAGCGTCCCATCCTTACAAGCGTTGGAATGCGCAGAGAAACTCATGATTGGCATCTGTGAGCGGCTTCGGCATCTGCTGGGTTTCCCTTTTACATTGGTCGGTCACCCCATCCCAGTTCATACAATACTTGTCACACCTAAGTTCTCTCAATGAAAATTCCCATTTCTGTTTCATCCACCGATGCGTTGCTTTCACCGAGATACATCCGCCACGTGGCTGAAATGCACCGTGGCCTTTCGCACCACCGGGATCATCGCAGGGTAGTTTTCAAAGTCAGCGAGGCCTCGGTGAAGAGCGAAGAGAACGAGATGCGTTCAAAAGTTCTCTTCAAAAGACTTGAGGACGACATCCATCATATCTTTTTGAAGTGATTTGAAGACCTGCTCGTCCATCTAGTGTTGAAGACCTACTCTTGAAAGCACCGAGGCACGTTCTAAAACCAAACCTGCTGGAGCACAGACATCAAAGACCACCATGCCTTGCCCTTGAGGCCCCTGAGTACAGTTCGACTCTCGCGAGGTTAACGCAGGTTGGGATTGGATCGGGTGCCAGATCAGACATGCAGAAGCTTAAAACCTCATACAGTAGCTCTCATCGATCTTCCGTGGTGCTGATTTCTTCTGGACCTGGACTCAATGTCACCCATATCCAAGCTTGATCGGTGAAAAGCGCTCCCAACAGTCGTTTGAAGCGACCGGAGCCTCACGAGACTGGCGTTGCACATGCAGATCTTGCTTCAGCCTGAGCCTGACAGAACAAACGGAAAGCTCAAGAGCCCCAGCAACACCTCGCCATTCAGTGACCCCTCTTCACATGAGCCCATCTGCCGGCGAAAGCCAACAAACATCAAAAGACACCTCTTGCGCTGAGTGGAAAAAGTCTGCAAATTGGTCAACTTGGTCAACACTGGTCAACTGGGAGCCCTTCGGATGCTGTCTGGGAGCTCTTCGGCAGCGGTTAGACCAGGAAGGTCCAGAATCTGCTTCCAGCCTATCAAACTCCAAGCCCAACAATGTTCCCCTGAAACTGCAATGAGACACGGTCACTCTCGTTCGGGAATCGCCAGGCGGCGGGTGATGCAAAAATGACGGCCAAAAACAACTACCTACATACAGTATATATATATATTATATATATATAGTATATATGAGTCGGATTCTGATCGCTTTGAACCTACACATCCAGATTTCACAACCCTGAAATCATATTCATCCATTCATGTCTCTCCAAGCAAGTCAGATACAAGCAGTCCAAATATCAGTGATTCAGCACCTTATATAAGCAGCAATCGTTGGACCAATTCCTGTCACTTCAAATTTTGGATTGGCCTTCAGCAACTCAACCCGGGCCTTGACTGGAGCTCCGCTTTAAGCTCCTGGCATACACGGTGCACACGGTCCCCGTGCTGGGGAGGCACTGGGGATCTCTCACAGCCTGTGATGGAATCATTAAGCACAAGCTGAAGACTCTGTTGCTCACAGACAGGGTGTTGGACTGCGGGTGTTGGTTTCATGGTTGCAAATATACCTTCTGCACCTGTCCATTTCTGAGCACAGAGACCAAGCTGACCTCCACGCGCTCGGTCCTTCGGCTTTGACGTCTTCCAAGCACCAAAAGGCCTCCTGGACAGGTCGAGACCCCGCGGCGCGCCCTGGGCGCCGTGGCAGATGATTTTCTGAACGTAAAACAATACAGAGAGAAAAAGGAAGGTAAGGGTCCCACCTTCCGCTCTTGGAACATTGTTTGCCCATCAAGTGAGTGTCCTTGATTCCCACTCCATCTGTTTGCGCACAGCTTCCTCAGTGCCCGCCTGTGACCAAGCTGGACCTTCTGAGCTGTCGGGGCGCCTCTTGCCTCCCAAAGTGGGTGCCGAGAACTTCCTCTTTACTCTTACCACAAGCAAGAAAAGTGGCATGAAGGTGTTGCTGCATTCGAATTAGCAACAGAAGGATTCAAGTTGACTTAAGGGCCCGCATCGTGTTTAAAGTTGAATGAGCCACGTTTCACAAGGATCACACCATCACGTGCCTTGCCCGGCTGCGTATCGTTGTACCCAAGACCAGGGGCAAAGGGCCATGGTGACACGGGAAAAAGAGATCCATGGAGTGTCCATACAACAAAAGGAGATACATGGAGTGTCCCGAGATAGCAATCAGTTTCTCATGGAACTGATCCTCTGCTTGTCCAGCATGCTGTTCTTTCAAAATACATTCTGCCAGCTGGATTTCTCGGATGCAAGGCACGTTTGAATTGGCTTCAAAAGAAAGTGAAGGTTCTTGACCTGCTGGCAGTCTGTCTATTTGGGCTGGATCCGTCTTGGAAATCCTTCAGTGGCTCCGATGGAAATAGCTCTTGGACACACATTTACATTATAGTATATATATATATGTACAATATATTCATATTCAGTAAGCGTTCTGGATGTAAATCAAAAACAACTAATGCTGAACGCTCAAGTCATTGATCATTTCATCAGTGGAGTTACCGAAACACATGCAAGTTGTAAATCCCACAACAAATACATACAAGCCTGTCTTTCCCGTTTCATGTCAAAGAACCCCACAGGGAAGACTGGTTTTCTTGCCGATTTGATGGCAAATGCTTCTTGTCATAGTTTGGAGCGAAGTTCACACACCTGTGACTTGTTTCGTTCGCACACCGCAGTGTCAGTCCTATCCCGAGTGCTACGGCTGGTCTCCATTCTTCGGCAGAATGACCTGCAGCCCTCTTAAAAGACTCTCCGCCTTCTCTGCTGCAGATCGACTCGTGCCATCTGCCACAGATGCACTCTGAGTTGCTTTGAGCATTCGAGCGGCCGAGATACCGAGCTCCTCCTGACAAAGAGTGACGCTGGTGGGCACCAACTGAAAGACTGCATCCAAATGTTGATACTAAACTACGCTTTTCTCCACTAAGGCCCTTCCTATCAAATATCTACAACAGCAAGTTCCTCAACAGTCACAGAACTTGACTATATAGATGCAAGACTTGCTGAACCAAGAGTGTGTAAGCTTCAAGTTCCCACCAGTCTCCTCAGGATGACAAAACAACGGGCAGTAGTAGTGATGCATCGCATGTGGATCGAACCATCCTCGCTCAGCTTCCCTCACCACCGCTGCTGCAGGCGATGTCGCTCGAATCTCTGGTGTCCACGAGCTGGGTGCTTCCAGCTTTCGTTTCTTGGCAGGTGGCAGCTCCTCAGGGGGCCCATGGGGCCCGTGGCTAAAGGCCTGCACAATGTGGGTGCGTAGGCAAATGTAGCAACGAAAGAAGTCGTGGTCTTCCGATCTGCCAATGGCCTCCCAACCAGCAGCAGCCAGGGCATGAGCGGGATCTGTGGCCTCCTGGCCACTTTCAGATACCACTGGCAGCTCCGCTAGAGCTAACAGACCTGTTCGACGCTTCTCCACATCTGCTGCAAGCTCTTTGTCGGAGTACCACTGCGGATCATTTTTCACCTCCACACTCCGCCATGGACAAAAAGAGTTGTGGCCCTTCCTTGGCAATTCACAAATGCCAAGAAAGCAGTGGGCATCGTGCTACAGTGGGTATGTATTTATGGCAGGCTAGTGACTAGCACCTGAGTGCAGAAATTCCAGCAGAAGCTGGTGTCCCTGTCCATTCTCCGCAAATGGGAACAATGCTCAGATGTTGCTTCACTGGACCTAACGTGTGGTGGAATTCAGAAGCAGCTTCTTGGGAGTTTGGATCCCTTTAGAGTTGGAGTAGAGCTAAATGTTTCGGTTATTTCAGGGAGCCCATGCTGGGCCAAAGCTTATACGCAGTACCTGGTTGGGGGTGGTGTCTCAAAATATCGGAAGATGACGGCCAACCAAAGGGTATAAGTACCCTTTTACTGACGGTAGCGACAGTCTGTAATGTGGTTGGAAGCCCCGCACACCGCTTGGACTGGAGCTCTCTTCCAACTTCAATCAAAGATTCTCTAAGATCTCATGAGAAGCTCCACTCACATCAGCCATCGGTAGGCCATTGGCCAACCAGCAGCCTTTCAAATACCTGAAGGAAATCAGACGAGAGCCGGTGAGCAGGAGAAATTTCATCTGCTTGAAACCCCACCTGAAAACTCTAGCTCCTGGAATTGGGAACACAACAGGTGTCAATCACTGCAAAATGGTTTTCCTAACCTGCGGTTGCTCAAGGAATGATTGGTTTAATGATGTCCTGGCCCTCTCACTTTCACCATGCGGTCTTTGCTATGGCCCAAAAATGCCACAAAACCCACACGTTGTTTAAATTCCAAAAATGCTCAAACCACGGGTGTTTGCCGGATCGGGATTTGGCTCTTTTGGCACCGGGGGCGAAGTCCATCGCCCGGCCGGTGGCCAATCGGTCGGTCACTTTCGGTCACGCCTTCTTCCCCTCTTCGCGTTGCACCCGGCTGGGGCGTCGCACCGGATCTTGAGCTCTTCAGTGCACAAGTGGCCTCAGCACGACCCATCGCGCCTCATGTCTCTCAATAGGATGCTCTCCAGAACAGTGTGATTCCTTCTTTCATACTGTAAACTCTAATCAGACATAACATGAATCAGACTGACTGGCAACGAAAAGAGTAGGTACACCACAAACAAACGTATTCAGTTCTAGTTCTACCTGTATCTGACAACGACCAAAACTTGAGGCCAAGGGGGGGCGAAAGCTAGCGCTCCAGAATGGGAAAGTGGAGGGCAGCGAGGTAGGAAAAAACACGGCGCTCTTTTTGGAGGCAGGGGTGAAGAGTCCTTTATATGTGGCTCTTTGCCCGGATCCTCCTGCGAGAGAAGAGAGAGAAGAGAGAGAAGAGAGACGGAAAGACGAGAGACAGAGAGGAGAGAGAGAGAGAGAGAGAGGAGAGAGGAGAGAGAGATGAGAGAGATGAGAAAGAGATGAGAGAGATGAGAGAGATGAGAGAGACAGTGAGACAGTGAGACAGTGAGAGAGTGAGAGTGAGAGTGAGCGAGTGCGGCCGCAAGATACGCAACGCTAACCGCATGCCAAAGAGCGACGACAGGACGGAGTCGAACTTGCGAAGAGGGAGGAGGGAGG